TACACCAAGGTTCTCGGCAAAATGCTCGCAAGCTGTGCACTTCGTTACAAAGGAGAAGGCCGGTCGGGTCGCCACTCCTTGTTGGTGGTCCTCTTCCAGCACCTTCAGTGTGGACGGAGCGAAGGCTCTTCAAACCCACACCTACGCGAGGCCAACGGCGCCTGGGCCCCGCCACGAAGTGGCGAGTGCTCCCGGAGCCACAGCTGCCAAAGTGCTGGCGGCAAAGCCGCAACCGCTAGCGCTTCGGGAGCGACCTCGGGGCGGTCAGGCTCCCAAGCCAGAGAAAGCCTCGCTCCGGTGGGTAAACGACCCTGCCCCGCCAGGACCCCTCCTCCACGGGCGCGGACCCTCAGCCGACAGAGCTGACCGCGTGGCACGCATGCGCAAGGCTCACGCCCTCCCAGCCCTGCGCCTGGCAAAGGGCGCGCCCATCCGGAGGCCGATACCTGAAGCGCGAGCGTTCGCGAGGTCAGAGCCCGGGCCAGGACGCTTCGGAGGGGCAGCATGGCGCAGCGTGGGCCGCTGAGGAAGGCAGCCAGCTGGCGTCCGACGTGACGCTCTCCTCCTACGGCTTCCTGACTGGAAAGGCGCAGCGAAGGGACAGTTAGAGGGCGTGGGCGGGGGCGGGACTCGGCGGGTCAGCTCCGCCCCTGCCCTGAGGCGCATCCCTGGGGCCAGTGTGCAGGAGTGTGGTGCCAGCCCTGACTCAGGGTTTCCCCTTTGTTTCCTCGATGGTTTGTGCCCCAGACGTCAGAGTTGATGTTGGAGTAGCTGAAAGCTGAGTTCATGCTTGTTTCACCTTCTGGTCTATCGCCTCCTCAGGGCGCTGTTGTGTAAACGTTCCGGGTAGAGCGCGTGTCTATGAGCAGGAAGGTGCTGTATGGATGCCTGCATGTGCGGGCTTTGCATTTCATCATTTTTTTTTTTTTTTTTTGACAGAGAGCAGAGCTGGGAGTCTTAACTTGTCTTCACTGAAGGTATTCTCCATCCCACTTGCCAGCCCAGCATGGCTTTGAAGGCTCCCAAAGGTTTGAATTAAACTTTCCAAGAGCCAAAAGAATGGGTGCACTGAACCTGACATATGAAACTCAAATTTAAACTTGCATAGATTGAAATAAAATATTTCTATAATACTTGAAATAGAACTGCTGACTTCTCAGGTGGTCCTCTGATTATTGGTCTCCCCCCATCTTGGTTTAACAATTTTAAAGCTGTTACTCTCATTAATGTTCATATTAAAATTAATTTTCTTGTTAACTTATATTAGTATACATTATATTAATATTTACATTACTCTTGCTAGTAGTCACTTTATGCACATGTTTAAGCAACATTGTTTACATCATGAAGCTGTAATTATTACAACCTTACCACCTGTGCTTATGAAAGGAAGACTTTTTTAAAAAATTTATTTGTTCTAATTAGTTATACATTACAGCAGAATTCGTTTCAATACGTTGTATGCAAATGGAGCACAATTTCTAATTTCTCTGGCTGTACATGATGCAGTCACACCGGTGCTGCAATCATACATATACACAAGGTAATGATGTCCCTCTCCTTCTACCATTCTTCCCACCCTTACACTCCCTCTCCTCCCCTCCCTCGCTTCTGCCCAATCCAAAGTTCCTCCATTTTTCCCTAGCTCTACTCCTCCATTATGGATCAGCATCCACATAATCAGAAAACATTTGGCCTTTGGATTTTTGTGGATTTTTGGATTATTTCACTTAGCATGATATTCTCCAACTTCATCCATTTACCTGCAAATGCCATAATTTTATTCTTCTTTAAGGCTGAGTAATATTCTACAGTTTGTTTGTCCATTCATCTGTTGAAAGACATCTAGGTTGGTTCCATAGTCTAGCTATTATGAATTGAGCTTCTATAAACATGGATGTGGCTGCATCACTGTAGTATGCTGATTTTAAGTCCTTTGGGTATAAACTGAGGAGTGGGATAGCTGGGCCAAGTGCTGGTTCTGTTCCAAGTTTCTAAGGAATCTCCATACTGTTTTCTAGAGTGGTTGCACCAATTTGCAGTCCCACCAGCAATGTATGAGTGTACCTTTTCCCCTACATCCTTGCCAACACTTATTGTTGCTTATATTCTTAATATTTGCCATTCTGGTTGTAATGAGATGAAATCTTAGAGTAGTTTTAAATTGTATTTCTCTTTGCTAAACATGTTGAATTTTTTTTCATATATTTGTTGATCAGTTGTATATCTTCTTCTGTGAAGTGCCTGCTCAGTTTCTTAGCCCATTTATTGATTGGATTATTTGGGCTTTTTTTTTTTTTTTTTTGGTGTTAAGTTTTTTGAATTCTTTATATATCCTGGATATCACTGCTGTATATGAGATTGGAGTGGTAATCTTCCATTCTGTAGGCTCTCTCTTCATGTTATTGATTGTTAAGACTTCTTTAGGGCCGGGGATGTGGCTCAAGCGGTAGTGTGCTCGCCTGGCATGCGCAGGGCGCTGGGTTTGATCCTCAGCACCACATAAAAATAAAATAAAGATGTTGTGTCACCGAAATCTAAAAAATAAATATTAAAAAATTCTCTCTCTCTTAAAAAAAAAGACTTTTTAAAAGTAGTAATTCTGGTGGAGGTGCTTCAGGATGTTTTAGAATGGATTTTATAAGTAAGTTCATTTTCTTAGCCTTCTTTCATCATGAAATTAACAATTCATTTTCTCATTGATAAAATATTTTAAAAATTCCTTCTATTCTCTAGGTACTTTTCCAGAAATGGATCCAGAACTTTACATAAGACATAATTCATTTCCTCTTGAAACTTTCAGCTAGCACAAAACAGAAATACAGTCACTTCTCATATTCACAAGTCCAGAATTGGTGGACTCAACCAAAGAGGGAAGGAGAATATTGGTAAAAATGTTGTGTCTGTACTGAATATATACAGATTTTTCCCCCTGGACATTATTAACTAAACGATATAGTTTAACAATCATCTAAAGATGATTGAAAGCATTCAGGAAGATAAATGTAATGTTGTTTGCATTTTATATAAAGGATCTGGGCTGGGTGAGATGGCACATACCTGTAATCCAAGCAGCTTGGGAGGCTGAGACAGGAGGATCAGGAGTTCAAAACCAGCCTCAGCAAAAGTGAGGTGCTAAGCAACTCGGTGAAACCTTACCTGTAAATAAAATACAAAATAGGGCTGGGGATGTGGCTCAGCGGTCTCGTGCCCCTGAATTCAATCCCTGGTACACTCCCCCTAACCCCCCAAAAAAGAATTTGGCCATCTGTGAATTTTGTTATCCTCTTTGTATCCTGAATCCAGTAACTTACAGATACTGTGGGTCAGCTGTCTATCAGAGTTTAATAAATAGTGTGAAGAAAATACAGTAGAATATGAAAAGCAGAAAGTACTGGAGGAGATAAGAGAGACTCCTGGCTATTTCTCAATATATATTCTTTCCTTTCACCTTTTATTTTCTTTATTAAATGTTTGTATTAGTGCATTATAGTTATACAAAATAGTGGGGTTCATTTTGACACAATCATACCTGCATGGAATATAATTTTCTCCATTTTAGTTCTCAGTGCTTCCTCTTTCCTTCCCTTTTACCCTCCATTTCCCTTCCTGTACTCTGCTGGGCTTCCTTCTGTTAAATTATTGTCTTTAAAAATTGATACACATACTGGTGAAATTTTTAGATACACATATAGGTGGAATTCATGGTGGTACACTCATATATGTACATAGCATAATTTTGTCAGTTTCATTCCACATTTCTTCTACTTTCTGGTTCCTCATCCCCACCTCTCAATCTCCTTCTTCTCCTCCACTGATATTCCCTCTATTTTCATGGAACTCACCGCCCCGACCACTTTCCCCCTTACTTTGCTCTGTATTCTGCATATGAGAGAAAACATTTGACCATTGACTGAGTTTGGCTTATTTCGCTTAGCATGATGCTCTCCATTTCCATCCATTTACCATTAAGTACCATAATTTCATTCTTCTTTATGGCTGATAAAACTCCTTTGTGTATATATACCACATTTTCTTAATCAGTTCATTTGTTGTTGGGCACCTGGGCTGGTCTCATAAGTTGGCTATTGTGAATTGTGCTACTATAAACATTGATGTGCCTATATCACTGTAGTATGCTGATTTTAGTTCTGTTGGATAAATATTTAGAAATTGGATGGGTGGATCATATGATGGTTCTATTTCTAGTCTTTTGAGGAATCTCCAAACTGCTTTCCAAAGTGATTGTACTAACTTATAACCTCACCCACAGCGTATGAGTGTACCTTTCTTTCTACGTCCTTGCCAGAATTTGTTATTACCTAGTTCAGGGTGAACTCTCAGTGTAGTTTTGTTTTGTATTTTCCTGATTGTCAGGGATGTTGAACTTTTTTTCATACATTTTTTTTTCTTGGTGTAGAACATTTATTTTATTTTTTTCCATGAAACACTCAAAAGTTCAGATCTGTGGGAAATAATTTTAATCAAAGAATTGTACATTTTCTTCCCACATATTCTGCTTTGTATTAGGAAATGACATTGTGATCCATTTCACTACAAGTAAAATTATTACAAAATATTTACAGGAAAATATTAAAAATAACCCAAACACAAAAGGCAAGATGAAATAAACTGGGTTTTCAGAAATCTCTACTCCAGTGCCCACAGCACACAAGAAGAGAGTCAAAACAAATAAGTAACTAAGACTCCCCTGATCACAAATTTCCAAAGAACTGGAGAAGGGGAAAAAACTGGACGAAGATGGTAGTGTGAAAGGAAATGGATGTTAGCAGCACTGCTGCAATAGCCAATCTATTCTGAGTGAAATAACCTCTTATGTGCAGTAAATTCTGAACAAGGCTATGTTTTAGGATTTTCCTTGAACTGAAATTAGAAAGTAACCTGACAGTGGAAGTAGCTCTTTCACCTAAGTTTAATAAGAGCCTCTTGCTCCACAAACCACTGTGGTGAACAGAAGCCTGTTCTGACATCAAAAGCTGTCATAGCAGCCCTTCTATTTCTTTCATGAAAGCTTCATAAACATCATCCTTAGTTTGTACTGAGATAGGGACAGAAGGACCAGATTTGGGGACTGCTTTGGCAAGAGGCACAGCAGAATCATCCTCTGACTTTCTTTGGGAGTAGCAGTAGCCCCTTTTTTCTCCCGATGTACAAATCGAGTAATCTCTGCCTTGGGATTAGTGATCTGTGGCTTGGCACTGATAGTTGCTGTGGCTTTCTTCTCAGTGGTGGCTGCACTTGTATCATCCGCCTTGGATCGCTGAATCAAGTTGGGTGGGGCACTCAACACCCCTGGATTCGGCAAGGGAGCCGATGGAAAAGCCCAGGTGGGGCAGGTTCAAGTGGAGGCACCAAAGGTGGGCACATCATGCCAGGGAGAGGAGGAGGGATGCCTGGAGGTGCAGGGGGAGGTACCCTTGGTGGGGGTCCCCGAGGAGGAGGGCCAGGAGGCAGACCTGGAGGTGGACCTGGGGTAGGGCCAGGGGGTTGGCCTGGTGGTGGTCCTGGAGGTAAAAGTCATGGTAAAGGCCCTTGGAATCCTGGCATTCCAGGAGGTCTCAAAAATGGAGGAACCCCTGGAGGTGGTCCAGGAGGAAGGCCCATGGGTGGCCCAGGAGGTTGTAAAGGTGGAGTAGGTGGTGGTCCAAGAGGAGGTGGTCCTGGCATGGGAGGTGCTTGTATCTGAGAAGGAGGAACAGACTGCGGGGGAGCCTGCTGCTGTGAAGAAGCAGTAGACGTGCCATCAGTATGAGGGTCCTCTTTATGCTGTTTTTGTGATTGTTTTTCTGCTTCAGAATCATCAGAACCATCTTCATCATCATCCTTTGAAAATTTCTCTACTTCCCGTCCTTCCTTTGGGATTTCCTGACCCGCCATTCGAAGCATCATGGCTTGAAGAGGAGTCAGCTCCTTCATGTTCTTCTTTTTCTTCCTTGATTTTCCAGGCATATCTTCAAATCGTACACTCAGACCTGACATTTTTTCTTCATTATTGTCTCTCTCACTATCATCACCGTGCACAAATTCATCCCCCTCACTTTCTCCATCTGATCTGTCAGTGTCACTGTCATCACTACTGTCATCGGCTTATCCTGATCCATGTCCTCAGGATAGCCATCATCTTCACTAGTACTGGACACATCATCATCATGCCCCGTTGAGCAAGTTCTGGACTATACAACATGTCTTCATCTCGCCTACGAGGGGGAAGATCTAGAGCAAAGCCCACTTTACTGCCATACATCTGCATGACTTGGGGAGGAGGTGGACCAGGTAGAGGGCCAAGGTTTTCTGCCAGGGGGCAAACGTGGAACACCATGTCCAAGAAGAGGAAGGATAGAAACTGCATGAGTTGGGGTTCCATAGGTTGAGGTCTTCTTTAGGATGGAGGGTGGCTGGGCACCAGGAAGTGGAATGTCCTGGATCAAGATATTAGAAGGAGCATATGGCATATCTGGCAAAGTAATACTCTCTTCTTCCACATGCTGAGCATTCTTGACAGCATCAAAATATTGGCTAAGTTGAGCCCTCTTCTGTTCATATTCTACTTCTAGCTTTCTCAATTCTTTGTAAATATCTGGATTCTCTTTTTCATAAAGTCAGAATACGTTGAAAAGTTTCACTCAGCTTTTTACATTTGTCTTTCAGTACTTTCTCATTTAACTGTGGTTGTTGCACTGGGTTAAACTCCATTTCATCCAATTTCTCCATGTCCCGGATAATCTGTTTGAGATCTTTCATCTTCAAAACTGCAGCTGTACCATCATATGCTGTTTTTTGTTCTTTTTAAATTCTCTCTTCCGGGCTTCCCTTTGGGCTTGGTCTGTAGGGTTCGTACATTTTCCACTTTTGGTGGATGATGTTGATCTCCGTCTCATGTTGACAATATGTATGGTTCACTTATTCACTTAAAAAAACAAACAAACAAAAAACAACAGTACTGCTGGGCTCCCAGGATTGCAAGAAGCGGGGAGGGGGCGATTCTGGGCCCTTTTCACTTCGTAGGGGCCTTCACCTCCTTTTTGCATACATTTTTGTTGGACATTTGTATTTCTTCTTTTGTGAAATGCCAGTTCTTTTGCTCATTCATCATTTTTTGTTTTGTTTTTTAGTTCTTTGTATAGTTTGAATCTTTTCTTAAATGAGTAATTGAACCCTTAGTTTGGTGTGGTCATGTGATAGTCCTGGCTAGTGAGAAATATCAGTGCATTAATGATCTGTAAGTGGTCTAGAGGGATGGGGGAAGAAGGAAGGTGTTGTTTCCTTTTTCATTTCTTCCTCATTTCTGCTTGCTGAAATGTGGATGTAGTGGCTTGGTCTTTGGTCTATGAGGTAGAAGGCACATGCTCTTGACAGTGGAATAAGGGGTGAAGCTTAGGTTTCTGATGCCCTGGAGAACTCTACTAGGAGCCCTGACTGCCCTTCTCTGGATTTGTTTTATATGAGAAATCATCTGCTAGGAAAATGCAAGGAACTGGAGTACATCATGTTAAGTGAAATAAGCCAGTTGCATAAAGACAAGTATTGCATGTTTTCTCTCATATGTGGAAACTAAAACAACAACAAAAACAAACAAACAAAAAGATGTCCTCAGAGTAGAAGAGGGGCTATTAGGGAAAAAATCAGAATAAGTGGGTAAGAGGTAGTAGGAGAGAGGGGAGAAGGAGAGGGTAGAAGAGAGGACAGTCCTGATCAAGGTACTGTATATCCAAGTAAGGAAATGCCACAGTGAAACCCAGTATAATTAACATGCATTAATAATAATAAAAATAAATCATCTTCTATATGACTATAAATAAATAGGAGGAGGCTATTTTTCTGTCTCCTTCTCTGTCTCTGTGTATGTTTCTGTCTCTGTCTGATTTTGTTTGTATTGTTTTCCTTACTTCTGACATTCATTTTATTTATTTATTTTTTGTGGTACCAGGGATCAAACTCAAGGTGTCGCACATGCTAGGCAAGCTCTCTGCCAATGAGTTATATCCCTAGCTCTACTTCTGACATTAATCACCAAATTCTTTGCCAAAAGCATAAATTTCCTTTCAATATGATTAATCAGTTTATCAGTGTCAACATCTCAGGTCTCCTAGTTCTCTTGCGCAGGTGTCAGCTTCTTGTTCTCTAAGAGGTCCCACAGGGATTCTGGGATGTCCTTTCACTAGCATTACTGGGAATCTCATTTGCATTATGCTGGACCTTTTGTTTCCAAGATCTTGGAATTTTTTTTTTAACTTCTAATTTTAGGAAAAGGAGATGAAACTTTACAGAGTTGTATCTCTAAATAATAATAATAATAATAATAATAATACATTACCAACTCCTTAATTTATAGTTTCAGTGGGCATAAATTCTATATTGAAAATCATTTTTCCTCATATTTATGAAGGCAATGTATATTGTATTATAAGTTGTGGTGACAAATTCATGTCATTTTGCTTCCTAATTCTTTGTATATGATTTGTTCCTCATTCTGTAAGCTATTATGATTTTTTCTTTGTCCATTATCTAGAATTTCACAATCATGTTCTTCAGAATAGGATTTTTTAAAAATCCATCATTCCTTGTATAATAGATCCTCTCAATCTGTAAATCTTAAATTCTGAAAAACTTATTTTCTTATTTGGATCTTGGATTCCCCCCTGCCTTGTCTCTGGAATTTCTGATATTCAAACACTAGGTTGTTACTTGATCCTCTATTTTTTTTTCCTTTTTTTTTTTTTTAAATTGCATGTGGAGAGGTTGGAGTTGTAGTTCAGTGGTAGAGAGGCATGATTCTTGGCACCACATATAAATAAATAAAGTAAATAAAGGCCAATTAACAACTAAAAACTTTTTAAAAAATTGTGTGTGTGTGTGTGTGTGTGTGTGTATTTTGGGAGTGATAAATGTCCCACTTTTTTTCCTTCTAGTTTATTTGCAAAAATTTTAAACCTCTAGTCTTATAATATTTATTTTCAGTAGTTCCTTTTTTAAACTTCTTTCTCCAGAATATCTCTCTTTTTCCCCCTATTTTGACTGTCATCAGAAATATTATCCTACTTTTGTTTCATGGATTCAATATCTCTTTCTTACTGAGTCATTGTGAATGCTTGTGTTCCTGCCATTATTAGAAATAGGAGATATTGCCAGCAACTTAGAAGTTCAATTCTGGTCAGTTCTCTTTTCTGGTCAATTCTCCCTACCACACCCTACCTGAATTTTGAATTAATCATTACATTGATTTTCCTTAAAATTCAAATACATAGGTATATAACTTTGAACATTATATTATTTTGTTTATCTTAGATTGTTCTTCAAATCTAATCAGACTGCTTTTATTATTTGTTGCATGATTCTTTATTTTAACTTTAGGCTTTTGAAAACTGTGCACATTAGTGCAGTTGCAGTAATTCATTTACTTTTCTGTTGCATTGTAATTTATTACATACTCATTAAGTATTTCTCTAGAGTAGGTATTCCTAATCTTTTCTTGTGTAATAAAACCCTTTGTCAAACTTGTGAGCCTATGCATGTCTAGGTTTCTAAGTATATGGAAAATGCATAGGTTACAAAGAAAACAAATACTTAAAAAATTGAACTAGAATAATTAAAATATAACATTAAATTTTTCAAGAAGAAATGGACATGTATCTTTATCAGGGCACTAAATAAAAAGATCTAGTGGTGGGTGTAAGAGACATAATTTTGAAGTATGATGAGCCTAAAAATGTTGTTGTATTTGCAGGACCTGTAAATGAAGTTTGACAATATCTATGATTTTATTGACTAAGAAAGAAGTTCTGCTAATAATATTATGGTTTATTACCTCCCTTTATTAACAAAGGAAATGCTTCATTTCAATTAGAAGTAAGTGACAATAAATACACAACCATTAACTATGCAAGTTACTAGATCTAGAGAGTCTTCAATAGACTCCCTTTGGCTCTGTATGTACTAGAGATTACAAACTACTGCTCTAGAATATACCTTGCAGTGGAAATCCTGGGTCATAAATTATATTCACATTAATATTTACCAAGTAGTGACAAAATATTTTAGAAATTTATACTCTTAATAGCAGTGTATGAGGTTTATCTGACTAATTTTTTATTTTTGCCAATTTGGTCTTATAAGTGTGAAGATACATTTTACACCTGTTACTACAAATAGGTATGAATTGCAAAGTGGTGTAAATTATAAGGTGGTGCAGGGTGTAGTCTACTTGATGATGTTCCTGCTTGGTTTCATCCAAAGGCTGGACTTATACAACTGTACAGAAGGAAGCAGGAGAGTGGATTCAATCCTTGCCCAACTGAGTAGGTGGGCAGCAGCCACAGTTCAACTCTAGGTGTTTATGTTCTGGAGCTATATCCCTAGGTAAGTACCTTCTTGGTTTTAGTGTTATTATGTAGTCAGTAGATGGAGACATAGACCAACCCTTCCTTCATTAGGCTTTTGAGCATGTGTATCTATTTTTGGTGTATGTGTGTGTATATGTTTGTGTCTTTTAATTTTCCTTGATAAAAGCTACAGATATTGACTGGGTATTTTACTTTCAGGTGTGTGTGTGTGTGTGTAATGCTGGATTATATTAAAAAACTGCACTAAAGTTAGAAGTTGCATTATTATTATTAACAGTAATTGGTATTAAAAAAATAAAATCTTACATTCACTTTTCCTTACAGAATCTTACTCGAATCACTAGATATTTGTTAGGTAACTGTTGTGTGTTGAATATTGAATTAAATGTTTTTGGGAGGAAAATAAAACTAGCCACTGCATCCCTCCTCTTCTTTTTAAAAATGTATTTTACTAGTGTACTATAATTATACATAGCAGTGGGGTTCATTGTGACATATTCAGAAATGTACGTTACATCATTTGCTCCAATACATTTCCTAGTGCTCCTTCCAAACCCCGTAATCCTTGCTTTACTTTTCAGGTCTTCCTTCATTTATTTACAGATATTTTTAGATTAAAAGTGGAATTCATTGTGATGTATTCATACATGTATCCCTGTTCTTGAGTTTGTCAACAAGTCTTGGTATGTCTTTGTCAGTTTCTTTGTTGCTATTATTAGAATAAGTGATAGAAAAATTTAAATATTGAATTGTAAAATTTCTAATGTTTTTATTATTACAACAAAGTATTTTTTATTACTAAAACATGCATTGAATGGATATGCATTGTATCATTTTTAAATATTAAAAATGAATTAACTTTCTTTAGGTGTTGCTTTGGAAAGTGAATTTTAGTGCCAATGACATTTTAAAACTTGTTATCAATAAATGCAAACATTTTCCAAATATGGCTTTGCACATCTTTTGCTTTGAATAATCTGTGACTAGATCTTTTGTTATTTTTTTTTAGATTTTTATTTAATTAAATATGGCTTGTTTCTTTCCTAGGTATAAGTTGAGATTCCTTCTGTCTTTATGCACTTGTACACAGCCTGGAACATTTTTTCATGAACACCCCCCAAAACACCTGTATCCAATACTCTCCAAAGTATATATTTCTCTTTACCTCCACAAGTTGTCCTAGGTACCTAATAGCTGAGAAATTAACTTTTTTATTCTTGTTTCTTTTTTTTTTAATTGTACCAGGGTTTGAACTCAGGGGCATTTGACCACTAAGCCACATCCCCAGCCAAGTTTTGTATTTTATTTAGAGATAGAGTCTCACTGAGTTGCTTAGTGCCTCACTTTTGCCGAGGCTGGCTTTGAACTCTAAGATCTTCCTGCTTTAGCATCCCAAACCACTGGGATTATAAGCGTGTGCCGCTGTGCCTGGGCTAGTAATTCAATTTTTAACTTCTTTTAGCTTCTCTTGGCCCTCATGAACACTTTTACATTTTTATAATTTGTTCTGTTTTACCTAGTCTCAATATTGTGTTGAG